CGTTTTTGGTCCGATTTCCTGGCTTTTGGGAGGAGTAGTCTCTCTAAATAATCATGTCAAGAAAACGAATAGAGGAAAAAAACACTCAAGGCAAAACTCAACTCACCCCCACTCCCCCCCCTCTCTTGTGGGAAGAGTTTATTTTTATCGAGTATCTTGGTCTTTCTGCAGGGACGTCGTATCCATCTCAGGCTTGGAGTAACTAATTATTATGTGTCATGTGTATGTGCCTAAAGAAAGGTACCAAAAGTCGCCACAGACCATTTTGAGCTACAGTCTGATAATGACAAAAAAATCACTTTTTAAAAACCAAAATGTGTTTCCATTTTAAAAAAATGATAGTTGCACCATTTTAACCACCATTCCGCTGAGCTGAGCAAAGCTGCGTTGGTCGTGGGTTCATATACAACTAGGACCATGAAGCTCTGAACTCGCCTTTTGGCACAGAGCGAAGCTTGTGTGATCCCTCACTTCCGCTATTAAAATAACAATCCATTTGAATAATGTTTTTGGTATCTTTCGTTTCCTGTGTGCTAAGTTGCGCCCCCCCCCCCCCATTAAGCACAGCGAACTATGTCAATAGTAAAACGGGTTGACAGTTGACATAATAAAGAGGAAAGATAAGAATACAGTGCCGGTAGTCTGCGCAGTATATCGTCTGCAGAGGAGACTATTTTTATACTTTATGACTTGTGAATAGTGTTGTGGTTTGAAAAACTTACAGTCACCGTTTTCACTCAGAAAAACGTACCGTTTCCACATTGCAAAACTTGACTTTACAGTCACCGTTTTCTCTCAGAAAAACGTACCGTTTCCACATTGCAAAACTCGACTTTGCAGTCACCGTTTTCACACAGAAAAACGTACCGTTTCCACATTGCAAAACTCGACTTTACAGTCACCGTTTTCTCTCAGAAAAACGTACCGTTTCCACATTGCAAAACTTGACTTTACAGTCACCGTTTTCACCGCGTCGGAAAGTAATTTTTTGTGTGGTTTTTCTTACCTCTGGAAAATAAGTTACTTAGAAAGTGATAAAGTTGACAAAAGTGCGTAGTTTCTGTTGGAATATAATAATTACATGTGTGCATAAAGGAGAGAGACACTGTACCGGAGAAGCAAGTGGAGGATTTCAGGCGTTACAATGGCGATCTTCTCTTCTTTGTTGTGTAAGTTTTGCAATGTCCGTTCTTTCACACACACACACACACACACACACACACACACACACACACACACACACATACACACACATATACACACACATACATACGCACACATACATTCACACACACATATCCACACA